GTAACAAATGCGGCAAGTTATTGGCGAGAGAGGTTAAATCCCATAAAGGTGCCTACCACATTCATAGCATTAAACGTGCGGAGGGAACACTTACGAGCTCACCACCCGACATCGCGGATAGCTTCAGAGACTATTACCAGTCCTTGTACAACATACCTCGTACGCATCCCCAGGCCGACCTAGACACGCCACAGACCGATAACACAGACTTGTACATCAGAGACTCACACATGCCATCACTCTCCCCCCAGATTATAGCTACCCTGGAGACCCCCATCACAGACGAAGAACTGATACGCTCTCTTGCCCAAACTAAACCCGGGAAGAGCCCTGGCCCTGATGGGTTTGTATCGCAGTACTACAAAATCTTCCAGGACCTTCTCCTCCCCCATTTCTTTAAATCATTCAACTCCATAGACCAGGACCATCCGCCACCCACAAGTGCACTGACGGCACATATCACGGTAATCCCGAAAGACGGGAAAGACCCACAGCTCTGTTCCTCCTACAGGCCGATATCCCTACTGAATGTAGAGCTCAAGTTGTTTGCGAAGACCCTGTCGAATTGCCTTCTCCCGCACCTACCAGATCTAATTAACCCCTCACAATCGGGATTTATTCCCAATCGCGAGGCAAAAGACAACACGATCATGGCGCTCAACCTTTTACACTGGGCCAACACCAAGAATATTGACATGCTGATGTTGTCCACGGATGCGGAGAAGGCATTCGACAGGGTAAATTGGAACTTCCTTTTTGCAGTCCTCAAACACATCGGCCTCCAGAACAGAATGCTGGGTTGGATACATGCTCTATATTCGACTGGCCAAATCCCTATTGCAGTCTTCTAAAGGTGAGGGAGGATTGGCGGTCCCGAACCTCCGCGCCTACTACGTGGCAACACACCTAATGAGAGTGCTTCACTGGCACCTACATGCCAAAGACAAGCCGTGGGTAGAGGTAGAGCATGCATGCTACCCGATATCACTATCCTCCATTACCTGGCTGCCGGATCGCCAACGCCCTCCACACCTACTGGAAAACCCCCTAATAAGAGCGACACTCGTGGAACTTACCCGCCTTCGTAATAAGGGAATAGTCACCACACATGACAGCCCGCTGACCCCTCTAATTGGGAACGAAGACTTCACCCCGGGAAACACGACAGCCTTCCTCCAAATTTGGAACCCCGAAACTACATTGAGAGCAACAATGTTCTTCAAGTCCAACAGATTCTTGGACAAGAAGGACCTATCGGAACACACCAAAAAAGGGACAGTCCCATGGTGGTCTTATTTCCAAACGCGACACTATTTGAATGACCCGGGTAGGAGAATGAACTTTGGGAGGAATCCTACACCCTTTGAACAGGCCTGTTTGGGGAGTGGACCAACCAGACACCTGGTATCCTGGCTATACGCCCAGGTAAACTCTAATGATACGAACCGCATCATGAATCTCCGCAGTAGGTGGGAAAAGGAGTTGGACACTCATCTCAGACGACTCATGGCAGGATATCTGCCTGGCAGTCCACGAGAGCTCGATCAGTAGCCGCACCCAAGAAGCAAATTACAAGATCCTAACCTTTTGGTACAGGACACCCCACCTCCTACACAAATTTTGTCCAAACGTTCCTGCAACCTGCTGGAGATGCCACACGATGCAGGGTACTCTATCACACATTTTCTGGTCTTGTCCACTCCTCAAACCCTATTGGACCCGCATCCATGCCTCGATCTCCCAGATTTTGGGAATTGACATACCGTTTCACCCAGCCAGATTCCTTCTACATGGGTCACCAGATGACTCGCCATACCCCAGCCACCGCAAGACTATCCTTAATCAATGCGGCCAGAGCCGTCATCCCCCGCCATTGGAAGGCTACCACTGTCCCAACTCACACTGAATGGATCACACAGGTGACCCACATATGTGAAATGGAGGAACTCCTATACACCAAGACAGATAAACTTGACAAATTCACCACCCTTTGGGCGTGTTGGAAAGACTATATGTCACGGACCTACCGACCCGCGGAAGAGACACAAATTGGAGCCCAGACGCCCAATTCTGACTAGACTACCTAGTCCGTGCAGGAAACACCAGAAACAGGCAATCGGGCAGAAGTGAGTGCGGGGAGCTCCTTCTGGGGGACCATCTGGTCTGTCGGATTCACTACGCCCCCGCTCCTCTGCTTCTCACCTCCTCCCCCCTTTCCATCCCCCCTTTCGCCCCCTACCCCCTTTCTCCGACCCTTTCTATTTTTTGGAGGGCTCATGTACCCGCAGATACACGGGCAAATTACCCTACCTTAAAATTCCGATGGCCCCCATTGACCAGCCCAATCTTGGAGGGATGGATGCCCTAAGAAGCCTAGTAGTGTCGGGAGAAAGAGCATATAAGCAAAGCACATAACGAGATAATATAATACCTCCCCATTCTCATTGTAATTATTGCAAATATTGAAGAACCGTATAACCTACTGGTGGAGATGAACAGCCAAACCCCCCACCCCCTCCACCCCAGATCTCCCATACACGTAGCTTCGAAGACACTATCCCTCTTCATATGATCCCCCACCCCTATATCTGAAAACATGTTGGTCAACTGTCATCTGTCATGTGTCATTTGTTTTGTTCTGTGTTGTTGTCCCCTCAAACTAAACATGTGATTTCCTATTAAGAATGTAGATGTACTATGTTTTGTGTTTTAAATGTACTCTGGAAGCGTACACTTGATCCCCTCTGTAACCCTTTGGATCAATGTTGTAATTGTTTTACCTGAAAACTTTCTTGAAAATAAAAACTTTTGGAAAATGTAATCAAGCAAATGGTTACTATTCTAGGCAAACAAGTTCACTATAAAGCAGGCTTGCACTTAAAGCTGACCTTTACCCCCTTTCACTAAAAATCACATCAGTATGCAGCTCTGAATGCGGATTTAAAATATCACATTAAATAGTTAAACATGTTTTTCATTTACTTACAAAAAAGAATTCTTCTGCTTCCTGGTCCAGTTTTGGCACAAATGATGCATGTGCCAAAGGGTTGCATCCTGGGAAGGTTACATCAGCAAAGCATTGCTGGGAAATCTCATCTGTAACCTCATGAGACCTCAGGGAAAGGCATTTTCCTCTCCTGAGATGATGTGCATAGTCACATGTGCCAAAGTTCCAGGAAGCAAAGAGATCTAGTAATCTGCCCTTACATAACATGGCCACTTCAGAAAACTGGGGAAGAAAAGATAATTAAAGATATGCAATGAATACAAAGCCTGCAAACTAGAAATATCGGTTTGTAGATTGTCATTACTAAACATTTCTAAAGGTGTGTTTGTTGTCATTTCAAAGATAAGGGTAAAGTTCCTTTTTAAGTGAAAAGATGCTGTAAAAGGATGAAGTCATGTGAGGCAGACTTGGTACTTCTTTTTTACATTGAATAATGTTTTAGTGTATTAATCCGATCTTCCTCTTCTTTCCTGTCCTTTTCAGCCTTCTCTCCAGCGCTGCTGCGGGTCTCCGATCCAGAGCTGACTCCTCTGTCCTTGCTGGCACTTCCGATCCCATGGTGTCTGCATGCGGGTGCACGCGTCCATAGACTTACCTTGCATCTCTCGTCTCCCAAACCGAAAATCCAAACTGCGCATGCACCCGCCCCAAGATGCTTTGCAGCCACCTGAGCAGTTTCGGATTTTCGGGCGGGAGTGCGCGGCGGGGTAAGTTTAAATCGCTGTTAAAACTTTTTTTTTTTAAACTTTTTGCATATATCCACTGCTTGCTAGCAGTAGATATATGCAAAAAAAAAAAGGAGAGTTTAGAAACCCTTTAACCACTTCAGATCAACTGTCAGGAGCAATGATAATCAGCTGTTGCCCTGTTTAGTTTATTGAAAGATTTCCCTTTTTTATAAAAATAAATGAAAAACAAAAACACCTGTCTGCTGGAAGCTGTATGTTTTGGCACTAATAGGTAGTTGGTAAGTCTCACTCAGTTATATTGAAAAGATGATTCACTGCCTTGGAATTAACATTCAGGTTGTCAGTCAGAAACTGACAGCATCCATCAGAAAGGCATTCAGCTTCATGGCAGATTCCATTAAGACCAACTACAGTTTTGAGTGCCTCACATTGTTTGTTACGTTGGCAAAGGAGAACGAATAAATTAGGGGAGCTCAGCATGTCACAGGCAGAAAATCTTCACTGTGGTCCCGTACAAGCATAAGGAAATCCCTATTGAATCCTAGGGAGAGTTTGTACACCAATTAAGTATTTCTCCTTGCTCCTGAAAGCAGCCAGAGAGGTAAAGGAGTGAAAGCAATGCAAGTATAAGGTGATCAAAAGGGGTTCCACTACTTGAACACGACACATCCCAAATATACCGAAACCTTCAGTAATGCAATAATTAATTTTAAAAAATGTGTACCTTCCCTACCCTCCTCCATTACACTGATTCTACAATATACGTTTATTATGCATATGTATACAGCACCAAGATGTTATTCAGTGCTTCACAAAGCACATAGAGCCATTCCCATTAGTCCCTTCACACTCATACAAGTATAAACAAAGGTCTAGAATCAATCTGATCGGGTCACAATTCTACCATTTAGCTATTATGTAGCTTTTTTAGTAACACAAGCACTAAGAGGAGATCTATAGAAAAATATATAGTCCATGCAGACAGGGCCCCTTGTAAGAGTCAAACCTAGGACCCAAAGCTACAAGCCAATAGCGATAACCTATGTACATTAAAGTGACACTTCACAGCAAGAGCTCAACAGCTACTAACACAGCAAGTGATCAGCGAGTTTTATTTAGCACCCAGCACATGACCAAGACAACAGCTCTCTCACTGCAATCACAGGAGAACATTTACAAAATGAATAATCCTACCACAGAGATTGTAAATCTTAGCTTTTTCAATAATCGATTATAATCGATTATGTCGATTAGTTGTTGCAGCCCTATTTCAAAGACTAATAAACATTCCATAGTACACTTACCCATTTTCTGGGGCGTCCTCTTGGACGTTTTTCACCACTACCCTCTTCTTTCTAAAAATGAAAGATTTTAAATTTAGTCATCACCAAAAACAATTGAACTTCATTAAATAACAATGTTACAGTCAGGGCCATGTTAGCATTCCAATGTATTTTTAATGATACCCCAACACACTAAGGCAACGCAGCTTTGATGCACATGTGTTGCAGCACACTACGGGCCATAACGCCAATGTCTGTTGTGGTGAACTGCATGGGTAAAAATTCTGCATGTCCATTCTCAAGCATGCGGTCCCCATATTCAAGCTGGATGGGACGCCTAAAACACAATGCACAATGCACGATATTACGAGACAATAAAGTAGAACGCAACACACAAGAACAGCAGGGTGTGAATGGACCATAAAAGGAAACCTGACAGAATATGGAGGATAATATTGCTGACCTCTCCTGAAAATGCCAATTCTCAGTATGTCATCCTAATCCAAAGCTTTAATACTTTCAGATGCTTGGACACGAAAGTATGTAGATCTTTGAATTTGCTGACAGTAATATTCATGCTTACTCCAAAGAACACATGAGCCTGGCTTCACTCCTATGTATTGCATGTATAAAATGTGTTTTACCACTTGTTGTTGCAACTCATAGCACGTTGTATGTGCCAATGCAGAAGTACAGTTGTTGGCAAGGCAGCCACGCCACAGCTCACCAAAACACACATGGCATGTTTGAAAGGGAGCCAGTGTGCAAAGAAGCACAGCAGGAACACAGTCATTGCATCTGTGCAATATATGCAAATTTCCCTATGTGTTACTTTTTTTTTCTTTACTCAACATTTTTAAAAGGAATTCTTGTTGATCTGCCAGAAATTAAGTGAGCTCCTAACTTCCTGTTTGATCTGACTGCCCTGCCAAATTCTCCTCTGCTGGTCTGATCACCTTCCTCTCATACCTTTAAAGAGTGGAGATGTTCTGTAGTGCAGAGGGTATACCATACAAGGTAGGTTAGTAGCTCACTGGATTTATGGCAGGATCAACAGGCATTTTCTGTACTATAAATGTTTTTACAAAAACAAAACGTGAGGAAATGAGCATGAATAGCAGAGATGCACCGGGTTTTTTTTGCCCAGAAACTTAAATAAAAACAGCAAGGCAATACAAAAAAGTTAATGGTCAAACATAATGCAGAAGATTACAGTAGATTCACTCAAGACGAGTAGAAAGTAAGCTGGTGCAAAATAGAGCAGTGTCTGACTAAAAGAAAAATCGTGGGATTGCCCCAACATAGGTTCCCTGTACTCTCTCCCCCTCAAATACATTGATTATAGAAAAAAAGGGGTTGTGGAGAGATAGGTGTGACCCATGCATGTGTAAAAGTTGTATCAATTTATTAAATATAAAATACAAAATACAGTCTCGGGCCGATTGCTTCTAAATATATATACATAATAAAGGCCATAAATCATCAGATATACAAAAATACAAAATACAAATACATAACTAGCATGATAGTCCCGGTAGTCATTATTGTTCAAAATTACATGATCCGATTGTATATAAAAATTACATGATTGGACCAACGCGTTTCGCAAAGTTAGCTTCTTCAGGGGACCGGTATTTAACATTCATGCATCAGCAGTGCCTGAGATAGAAACGGATATGAGGAGGGGCGAGATGATCAGGTGGCTAAACCACCCCACCCCATCCCTTTTCCCGCCTGGGACCCCGGGGGATCAAGGGGAGAAACGCCTGGGAAACTTCACGGAGGCCCAGCCTGCATCATGTGCTGGCCCATCATATCCCCCAAGTGTACCTTCCATTGTATCTCTAGCTAACCCAACCACTTCAAATGAAAACACCCCTCCCCTTATATAGCCCCCACCACCAAACAAAACAAATCCTTACAATCAGGCTAATAGGTATTATATACAGATAGAGATACAAAGTAAAAACCAGTAGCCATGGTAAAAGAGTAGAGATGTAGAAGAGCATTTGAAATTGTTGATGTTGTAAGCTACCACTACATTTACAAGTTTGGTAAATTAAAAATGTTCACTAGATTCAGAACAGCATCCAACACACCAATGTTTTTTTAGGGCAGTATTCAGCTTGTGATGTATTCTCCAACTATGTATGGGCAAGCTGTGGCCCAAGTTTTGCATCCAAGATTTGGCCATTGCACCCAATGCCATGCCTACTTAAAATCATTATTAAGTTGATTGGCTGAGCATCTAACAAATCTGAGACATTAATGCTTTTTTTTAAGGTTTAAAATGAAAAACTAGTCCTGGTCTTTTTTCACTAGTTCTTCTGGGCTGCAATTTGGTTGGTATGAAAACAACTGTATTTTTACAAAGATGTGCAGTGTAAAATGTTAATGTGAATTCATTTAAGGACAACACTTTTACATTTAGTTTTAGTCCTTATTGGTAAGTTAAGTTACTCTTTATTTTAGAGGTAAACTAGATACAGATGTGGACAAAATATGTGGTACCCTTCCACCTTATGCCAGATGCAGCAAAGCAGCCCCAACACATTACTGAGCCACCTTCATGTATCACAGTAGGTACTCTTTTCCTTGAAAGCTTCATTTTTAACATTTGTGAACAAAGAGTTTTTGACCTGCCAAAAAGCTCTAGCTTGTCTAAACTGTCCAAAAAACATTCACCAAGAAGCACTGTAGCTTAACAGTATGCATTTCATTAAATCCCAACCTCACTTTTTATGTTTTTCACTTTCTCTGGTCCATGCTCAGTGTGGTGCACATGAGGATAACAGACAAGCAGAGCTACTAATTTTCTTCTTTTAAATAGGCTGAGCGATTACAAGACTGAAGACATGTACTGTACGATACTAATCACAGAAAACCATTTGAAATATCACTATGAGCCACTTTTCTAGGCGTACCAACAAATGTGTCCAGGGCATTTTACAATATTCTTGTAGAATGAGCAATAATTGATCTCTTTCACACTTTCTTTGCTTTCCTCTCTAACACACTAAAGGCATACATGTATACACAGGACAACCGATTTGAATGTCATCACTTTTTAGGAGGTTTAAAGCATTGTTTCAATAAGCTGTAAGGGTACCAACAAAATTGTCCATGTCAGTATTCACATTCTTTTGCACAAATCAAGTTACGTCTCTTTTGAGCCTCTGCTATTAAAACTGAATCATGTGAAAAATGTAACCAAATCATGTGGTTGGAACTGAATCCCCATACATTGTATTATATTACAGAATCATGTGATCTCTTTCTTTAGTACCATTTGATTTAAACTACTCTTGCCTTTCTGACTGTACATTGTGGATTGCAGAGTTTTAAACCTTTAATCCAACTTAAAAATAACTTAAAGTAGTATTAAAGCCTGGGTGTTTTTTGCCTTAATGCATTCTGTGCATTAAGGCAAAAAACACCCAGCACTCTCCTAACACCCTGTCTCCCCCACACTTACCTGCAGCCGATCATCTCCACTGCAAACAAGAAGTTGCACGCATTTCCCCGAGCTTCCTGAGTGCAAGGGAGGGTACTGAGGGCAGAGAAGCCATAGGCTCCTTCTGCCATCAGTCAAGCTGTGACTGAAGGGTGGGGACATAGCCTGCTGCACTCTGTGTGCGTCTGTGCACGTACGGGTGCCTCCACAGTAGTCGGTTAGCTGATGGAGGCACCCATATGGGGGGGACCTAGCGGTCTGGATACCACTTGAGAGCGAGGACATTAAAAAGCTGAACAACAATTTTTTATAGCAAGTCTGGCCCCCATTAATAAAAAAAAATGAAAAACCCTGAAGGTTTAATGTCCCTTTAAATACAATAAAACTTCCAGCCATTTCATAATAAAATGATAGGTACAATGTTTATTCAGCCCACATGTTGTCTATGAAATAAAATTAGTGGCAGATCCACTTTAAGACATTAAGAGTGTTAAAATAGGATAGGGGGGCTGCCCACTTTCCTCATTGTGAAAATATGGAATATTTATATGCAATCAGCCAGCAGGTGGAACTCCAGGCTCCTTTTCACATGATTTTCCGTTTCTCCTTACAGCATGTTCTAACAAACACTTTTTACAGAGCTCATTAACTAAAGCTGAAACACACACACATACGTCAGCGGGGGTTCCAGTTAGAGTAAAGTCATGCATAAAAAGTACTTGTACGGTGACTCTTAATAAACAGATTTGCACATGCACACATTTAACAAGATTCATTACTAAATATACACCAATAAAGTATGGGATTATTAGGGAGATTAAGAAAGGCAGGGGAGTGTGAATGTGCAGATGCATGCTGTTCATTATGGAAAACCACTCAGCCTCAATGAAACTGTCACACGTCGGCTCAATAGATCGGGAAGTGAGCAAACACATATCATCGCTCGCATCTCGATCGTGTGCCTGCAGAGAGCCGTGACTGTCACTCACGTCACCCTTCAGGGATTCCCCCCTCCCCTGTCCGATCCTCCAGCGCTGACTGGCAGAACGGACGGGGAGGGGGAGAGTACAGCTGGCTCTGCCTCTACATAGGCAGAGCCAGCTGTCACTCACACAGCTGGGTGGATCCAGACAGTATTGTCGGGATCCGTCCCGGCTGCGGCGTCTCAGTATAAAGGAATGCTGTAGCTAGCGGTATAGTGAGCTTTGGGTGACGGGAGGACGCTAGTTTGTGTCCTCCCGTTACCCTTAGGAGAACTATAGGAAAAAGCACTAACCCCATAGTTCTCCTTTAAATATTACCTAGTTGAACTTTGTTATAGTATCGTATTTAGAATTGACTCAGAGATTACTTTAGAAAGCACTGTAAATTTCCTAAGTTTTGTACACTTTACCACATTTATTTTTATATATATAAAAAAAAATATAATAAATCAAATCATTAAAAAAAATGTTGTATATCACCACAAAATGATACTTTGTTCTGTATTCTCTAAAAAGCAGAGATGAATACCTATTCTCCGACAAGAAAAGCCCTGGCTCATCATATTCTGTCATGTATAAAATGTATAACCTGACAGCTTTTGTGGGGGTTGGCCAAAGGTTAAAAAAAAAGCCCT